GAGCAGGAAGGAAGGACAGCCTTTTCACACAGATTGGCTAGTTCAAGCTGTCTCTGAGGAAAAGCATTACTGTTTTCATTGTAAGTAAATGATTTAAATCTTAACTGATAACCTCATATACCCTCATTGAGGACATCTAATGCATAAAGTAATGCCGCCCTTTACCTGGATAAATCCTTTTAGATACAAAGCTATGGCAAGGAAATAAGATCCATTGGGAGATATGCTGTCACTGAAGCAAAGAAAAGCTCTTTGTATTACAACAGGCAAAGGCAGCTAGCAGGGAGCTGGCTGAGACATCAGATATACACACAGGCAACTGCCAGGTTCTATCCATTGAGCTGACCCAGCGCTGGCTGCCTGGTGTCCTGCCTACCAGCCAGGGGGTTGCCCGGGGATATGCTTCTCACCTTCTCTCCTTGGCTTTCGCACCTGGTATGTCATTTCTGTCAGGATCTGTAGACCTAGGAAGGAGATGAAACTCACATAAACCATTTTCCTTCCTGACAACTGAGATAAATTACTTAGCTGGGGAAAGGTTGAAATTGTTCATTTAAATGTGGCTTGGAAGTATTGGTACATTTCAGCCATCTATTTTACTTGTTTTCTCTACAACCACTAAAGTTGACAGTTGACTGTGGAAAATAGAATAAAATTATTTTTCTCAGCACAATGGAAAGTGTTATCATGGAGAAGATCAAATGCTCTTGTGAGAAAAGTGCACATGAGCAAAAATGTTAAATGCTGACAATATCAGTGGTGAGGTATTTTAGAATAAAAGGTGTGACTTTTGCTGACGGGTTCCCAGTTTTCCTTAGAGAATGTCAGAGATGCTCTTTTGTGTTGACAGTAAATCCCACTGACTGTCTTTATGAAATGATTTGTTAGACATGGGGAAAAACAAACTTCTTACAATGTGGGGTTAACAAGTACTTACTTGGGGATTTTGAAGAGAACTGGAATTATAGATTTTGTTGTATGTTTTGGTCCTGACTTCATTTTACCTCAAATAAGTAGTAAAGTTAAAAAAATTTATTTTTTGATATCGAGTGTTATATTTTCTACTAGAGGCCCAGTGCACAAAAATCTGTGCACTCGGGGGGGTCCCTCAGCCTGGCCTGTGCCCTCTTGCAGCCTAGGATCCCTCGGAGGATGTCCACCTGCTGGCTTAGGCCTGCTCCCCAGGGGATCCGGCCTAAGCTGGCAGTCAGACATCCCTCTGGCAGCCCGGGAGCCCTCTGGGGATGTCCACTTGCCAGTGGGGAGCAGGCCTAAGCTTCAGTCGGACATCCTTAGCGCTGCTGAGGAGGCGGGAGAGGCTCTCCCACCACCGCTGTGCTGGCAGCCATCAGCCTGGCTTGTGGCTGAGCAGAGCTCCCCTTGTGGGAGCACACTGACCACCAGGGGGCAGCTCCTGCATTGAACATCTGCCCCCTGGTGGTCAGTGTGTGTCATAGTGACCAGTCATTCCCAGTGGTTCTGCTGTTAGGGTCAATTTTCATATTATCCTTTTATTATATAGGATAGAGGCCTGGTGCACAGATGGGGGCCGGCTGGTTTGCCCTGAAGGGTGTCCTGGGGTGTCCTGGATCAGGGTGGGGGTCCTGCTGGGGTGCCTGGCCAGCATGGGTGAGGGGCTGAGGGCCATTTTTTAGGCTGGCCACACCCCCTTCAGGGTGGGGGTCCCAACTGGGGTGCCTGGCCAGCCTGGGTGAGGGGTTGATGGCTGTTTGCAGGCTGGTCAAGCCCCCCGAGTGGGGACCCTCACCCCATGGGGGTTTGGCCAGCCTAGGTGAATGGCTGAGGGCTATTTTCAGGCTGGCCACACCCCCTTTAGGATCGGGGGTCCCTGCTGGGGTGCCTGGCCAGCCTGGGTGAAGGGCTGATAGCTGTTTTCAGGCTGACCATGGCCGTGGGCTGGAAGCAGGTATCTGGGATTTATTTATCTTCTATAATTGAAACTTTGTAGCCTTGAGCATAGCTCAGTGCCGGCAGGGCAGGCAGGAAGCTTTGCTTCCTCCATCACTGGGGGCAACCCAAGCCTCCTGCTTGCTCCAGCTCAGTGGCCGCTGCCATCTTAGTTGGGTTAATTTGCATATTCGCTCCTGATTGTCTGGTGGGTGTGGCTGGTGGGCATGGCTTGTGGGTGTAGCGGAGGTATGGTCAATTTGCATGTTTCTCTTTTATTAGATTAGATAGGGATGACTCTGTTGAAAGCTTTATACTTATTTTTCAGTGCTTAACCTGAATGGGAATTGAGAGCATGTAAGGTTATAGAAAAATGGAGGAGCCTGGAAAAAAAGACTAGACACAAAAACAGAGATTAGAGCTCAAAAAATATAATTATGGATTTGAGAAGTGATAAATAAAATATTTTATTGTGCATGTATGTGTGGGTAATAGATGTGTAGAAGAAATAAGTATTACAAAGTAAAATAGAAAAAAGGTAATTATATAAACGCATAGGTGAATCTGGGTATATAAAGATGAATAAGGTAAGTTCCCTGCTCTACTGGAATTACAATTTACTGGAGAAGTGGAGGGTGGGAGGTAATATAGGTAAACAATTAATTGTAATTTAAGATAGGAAAAAATTGTGAGCAGACTAAAGAAAATAGAATGTACTGGGAATTTGGAGGTAAAAGAAGGAGGGAAGGGAGAATCAGGACAGCGATGGGAGAGGGGCATTGAAGTGAGCTTTGAGGCCCACTAGGATTTGACCCGGAGAGAAGGGAATAGGCTAGGGGAGAGGAAGAGACTGTAGGTAAAAAAGGAGTCGTTAGGAATGGGAAGGAAAGGTGCCGGAAAGGTAAATGTAAAGGCATGGGAGGAGGTAGGCCCAAGGAGCCTTATCCTTAACCCCACTGCAGCCTTTCCACCCCGGGAAAGTGCAGGATTGGCAAGCTCTCCCTGGGGTGATAGATCAGGACTCAAGTAATAGCGGAAAGCGCCAATCCTACTCTTAAAATGGATACAAGAGAGCACTTGGGGTTTTTATTTTTAATGCCTGCTTTTAAAAAATAAAAAAGGGGGAATTTGCCGGGAGCCGGTCCATGCTTGCTGTTTCAAGGGACCTGGCATATATGGCATACTGTTCTTAATATGTTTGCTCACCTTCTTGGCACTATGTGTTTTAACCAAGGTCTCTGAGAAAGGTTGTTTCCCCAGGTAGGGATTTTCCCCTGAAGTTAGGGAGGGAATAAAACCTCTTAACTAAGTACCAGGCGGGTAATTAATCACTTTAACTACGAACAATCATGCTTAAGCTACATAATCTTTACTCCCTGGAATGGAGATAAGAAACGCCCTAACCTTTGTAATAGAGATTGATAGGATTGAATCAACTGGTATAAATACAGTTGTAATAAGACAGCAAGACACAGAACTTAGAATACGGAACCAGGAGAGACGGAACCTAGGCACAGAACCTACACAGAACGTTCTCTACAGACAGAAGAACTTCGCTGGAGAGAACATGGCAAAAGATCCTGGACTGAACCTGACTACAGAAATTGGCAAGAGAACCTGACTAGAACCTGGTGACTGAACCTGGCTGGAGAACCTAGCAAGAGAACATGGACACAGAACCTGGCTGGAGATCCTAACCAGAACTTGCCTGGAGATCCTGGCTAGAGATCCTGGCTAGGCTGCTGATCAACTGAACACTGTCTCCATGTCATCTCTTCTTCGCTGACTCCATCCACACCTTTGGGGACCCCTGGACCCGCTGGGGTTGGACCCCGGCAGTTCCTGAGGGAAGCTGGGCAGAGGTGGGGCTGAAAGAAGAGGACACTTATTCTTAGGTTGTTACAAAGAGTTTTGGGATGCAGAAAGTGTATTCTTTTTATTCTCAACACTGAGAAGACAGTAAAATCCTGCAAATAAAACTGGTCAACAAATCAATAGTGTTTTGTTTTGTTTTTTAAAATCAGAGAATGCTATTGCATATTCTCTACTTAGAGCAAAATCAAGAGAAATGAATATTTCTTTTGCATTTGAAAATTTGTGATCATAAACCACTTGATATTTGGAAGCAATTCTACAGCATTTTACATAAAAAATGTCTTACTCAAGATTTTTCATCTCCACTTTGCATCCTACCTTGAACTAACTCCCTTCAGAATATTGAGCCAGACAGATAAACATGGAATAGTCTGATGAAATGGGACAACATTTATTGAGAATAGAAGAGTGGCTGGAAATTCAGGAACTCTTAGTTTGCCTATTGGTTGACTTTCTTTAATCATTTCTTCAAAAGGGCCCCAGTCCCTTGTCTTTCTGGTCAGATTTTTACCTACTATCATCTTTCCCCACCTTCACATACAGATTTTTCTTTTCTTTATCTCTCCAACAGTCATCTTATTTCCCCTACTCCACTCAGGATATTATTTACCTCTTAGACATTTTTGCTTTCTACCCAAATGTGGAGGCAGGGACAACCATTTCAGTGTTGGTACCTCAAGCTCTGTTGAGCTGCTGGCTCTGAGACCTGACCCACTTCTCATTATTGCCAATGGAGCCGGAGCCCTTCTAGAGGGACAGCCAGACCTCGGCCAACTCCAAGCTGACAACTTCATTTATAGTGATGAGTCCTTGAGCTCATCACTAAGTGATTCCCTGTTCTGATTCCCATTGCTGTTGTTTCAATGACACTTGCCTTGATGTTGTAGTAACCTTTGGGATGAGGGAGTGGAATAAGAAGTGTTCATGGATGCCATCTGAGGCTTAAAGAATGTGCATGAATTCAACAGTTACTTGTTTGACATCCATTGTGGGAGAGGCAGGTTGCATAACGAGAGCAATCACGATAGGTGACTCTAGCTGTGGGGGTAGGTGGATGGGAGTTGGAGCAGAGGTTATCTTCCCCCTCCCATTTCTCGGGGTTAAGGCCAGGGTGCCCCATTGCTGGCCGTATCATGTAGGTATCTGTGTGCACTCTTTCCAATGAGCCAGTGTAAGGGTCTCTGACAACCACCTTTCTGATGTTTGTTTTGTGACAGATGATTCAGGAGAGCCGGTTTCTCATAGAAATGGCTGACACAGTCCAGGAAAAGATTGTGCAGTGCCAGAAAGCAGGTAATCTCCGCCCACTCTCACCCTCCTGCCTCTATTCTGTTTAGAAATCATCATGATCATTCTTAGCAGATTTTTTTTTTAAGTTTGTGTTCCTACTTCTAAAAGTCAAATATTTTCTGACTTTAATTTTTTCTATCTTAAATTATAATTAATTGTTTACCTATATTATCTCTCACCCCCCACTCTCCAGTTTATCCTCTGAGTTACACTTAAGTCTTCGTTTAGTACAGTGTATATAAGGGGGGTGATGTCTGAAGATTTCTGGAGAGAAGGGGGTTTCTGAATCTGCTTTTGTGGGTTTGGAGCCCATCAAAACCTTTTTCTACTGATAGGAAGCTATGGGTCCACACGGCCTTGTAAGAACCACTTCATTTTACAATTGGAAACATAATCCTTTTAATCTTCCAGGCTTTTACCTCATTTACTTGTCCTCATTTTAGAACATTCTTTCTTTAAGGACGGGATGGGCCCCATATCTGTGAGGGCATGCCTCTATTTATGTGCCTCTTTACCCAAAGCCTGTACTTTCATTTTTCTTGGATCCATGTCTCCTTGGTCCACACATACAATAATGATTATGATGAGGATGATGGCAATAATGACAATTGTTTATATATATGCATATGATATACTAATCACTACATTATGTTACTTGGTCCTCATCACAACTCTGCGAGGTAATCATCATTATATCCAAACTACACATAAGGCATCTGAGATTGTGAGAGTTTGAATGAATTATCCAAGATCCCAAATTAAAATGTGGTAGAGCTGAGCTTTGCACTCAGACCATACTTTAACCAAAGAACTGATATGCATAAGAGCATAGCCCATGGACACAGACAACAGTGCGAGTGAAGGCCTGGAGTGGGGTGGGAGCCAGGTGGCAGGGAGCAAAGGGGGGTACGTGGGGTACATCTGTAATACTCTCAGCAATAAAAATAAATTTAAAGAAATTAAAAAATAAAAATGGTGCTCTACACTGACTGACCAGCAGGCTTATATGTTTTAGTTGACTGGAAGCACAAAAATGATATTACCAAATACTTGTTATATAATACTCCTATGTGCCAGGCACTACTTTGAGAGCTTTATATGCGGTGACTCATTTAATCTTCACCACAATCACTTGAGGTAAGCTTTCATGTTATCACCGTTTTACCAATAAGGAAACTGACTCGTGGAGTTTCAGACTCACTCGTGCTCACATGCCTGGTAAGTGGTGGAGCTGATGTTAGCCCCGGCTTCACAGTCATGCTCTTACCATGTGCTGTTTGAGATGTTAGCACCGGGAAAGTTACTGTGGTGTTAGCTGCATTAGTCAAGGCAGAGCAGCTGGAGCAAGTAGGGTGATGGGTCACCCCTCCCTCGAGTGGGCTGCTTCCAGCCCATGTAGATAGATGTTCCCGGCCGCAGGTCTCTGCAAGCTTCACTCTGGGAAGTTATGTACTGCAGTGGCCCTGCCTGGAGGTCATCCTTCAACAAAAGACCTCATTAGTACGCTTAAACATGTCAGAATGTCTAATCTGGAGAAGAGAAGGCCCGAGTGGACTTTAATATCTTTCTTAAGATATTTAAAGGGCTTCTCTGAGGAAATGAGAGCAGACCTTGTTGGTCTGGGTCTAGGTAGTACCAAGGAATGAATCGAAATTCCAGGGAAGAGAGACTTTGGCTGTATATCGGTCATAGCTATTCAAAGGTGGAATGAGCTGCCCAGAGAAAGGATGATCCCCATCCTTGAAGCCCTGAGTCCGAGGCTGAAGGAACAGTGGATCGTGGTGCTGTTTTTCATAGTATTCAGCGTGGGAGAATGGTTGAGTTAAAACTCACTTTCAGGTCATTCCCAAATCTGAAACATTTGGGTGTTTCCAGGAATGTTATCTTTAAAAAATATTTTTATTTTCACTCAACATTTATTTATTACCATTGTTATAGATATGGGCTCTGGGGCCTACTGTCAAGCCACAGGGTCCATAGGAAAAGGGAGGTATTTGCATCCATCACATATGGTTGCCATTCACACATTACACCATTTCACATGAAAGCCAGGCAGAGGACAAATAAGATGGATGTAACCTGTTGGAAGAACTTGCTTCTCACCTTCTCAGGTCTATGGCTCCTGGCTCTTTAGAATGTAATTTAGTCTAATGCATTGATTATTGTTGGTTTCTCCTTAAGAATAGCCATTTGATGGGGATGAACAGATTGGGAAGGTGTGTTTACTTTAGGGATTTAGAGATTATAAGAGAAGGACAGGAATGGGAAATTATATTTTTACTGATAATATTTTCATAAAATGACTCTTTTTCTTCAGTATATACTAAGAATTCTTACATGTTCTCTTTTCAAAGGGATGGAGTTCCATGAGGAACTTCATAATCTGGGGGCCAAAGAAGGCCTGAAAGGAAGAAAACTCAACAAGGCCACTGAGAGCTTTGCGTGGAACATTACGGTATTGAAGGTAAGCGAATGCCTAGGGGCCCCTTTCCTTTGTTTCTCTCCCCAGCTCTCCAGCGGGTAGAGAAGCACCGGCGGTTAAATATGGTGATTTGCATTTTTAGGTAACATGTGGCCTGATCACCAGGTCATGCTCTAAGTGTTGGGGAGATGCATGCTGGGATTGCCATGCCTCTGCCCTGATAGGGCAGTGAGGACAGCACAACCTAATCCTATTGCCTGGTGTGTGTGTGTGTGTACTCACATACCACTTCTGTTCACGTCAGTACATTTGTTCTTGTTTGTGAAAAGAATAAGTCCAGTGCTCGCTTCGGCAGCACATATACTAAGCTTGGAACGGTACAGAGAAGATTAGCATGGTCCCCGCGCAAGGATGGCACACAAATTCGTGAAGCGTTCCATATTTTTTATTTAAAAAAAAGCGAAAGAAAGAAAAGGCCAAATGTTGCAGGAGCAGGACCCAATTCAAGTGGCTGGAAGAGGCTTCGCTTTAGAATAGCTGGAGCCACTTAGGGTCATGTTTATTTTAAGAACAGACTTTGTAAATACATTTATTTTTGCAAATAGCTTTGGAAGTCATTTTCCTGAGATTATGATCTGCTCTACTGAAAATTACTTTCAGGGTTTTAAGTAAAGATGATACCGGAATAATTTGTTTTTGACATTGTGATAGGAGAAAAACAGCCACAATCAAAATTAATCATTGCTGATATTTACACATACTGTGTGTCAGGTGCTGTTTTATAAGATTCATACGAATTAGCATTTTAATACAACAACCCGATACTGTTATTATTCCCATTTCACAGGTAAGAAAACTGAGGCATTGAAAACTTGCCCAAGGTCACTCAGCTGGTAAATGGTGGAGTTGGAGTCTGAGCCCAGGGGGTCTGCTCCAGAGCCTGTGTCTCTAACCTGCTGTGCAGGGAGATGCACACGTTTATATGAAAGTGCTAGGGGATCTGTAAGACGTATCACAAATGTTTATTAAAAATTCATCTCACAGATAAGCCCTACAGTATAATGGGCTCTGTGCTAGGCATAGAAGATCCATGGAGAACAAAAGAGATACAGACCCTGACCTCATGGATTGACACTCTGGGGGCAAGGGGTGGGGGTGGGGGGAATAGGTGTCATTTGCCTCACAGGCAGGGAGGAGCTATGGCATTAATATAAAGAGCAGCTCATGACAGCACTGGAGTGTAATGTGGCAGTGTGAACCTGATGCAAACGCTCTCTGTTCCGCAGATATTTATTTATGTGGCTTATTAACCTGCTGGTCACTGAGATATATGGAAATAATATTGAAGAAAGTTTATGATTTAATGCATTTCAGTGTGTGCCCTAAAAAACTGGGTCTCTTTTATAGATTTATGTCCAGTTGATATGACTAATCCTTTCCCACCTAACTTTTTGGCTTTTTGCTAAGCCTTTGCTCCTTCTGCTTTATCTTGACAACACTTTCGTCTTTCTTGGAAAGAGCTGGGGCTAAAGCATCTGACTTGTCCTCTGGGCACTTGTGTTCTAAACCAGGCAGATTCTCTCATTCAATCCCCAAATTTCAGGCACTCACAACTCTGGGGACTCACCACAGCCGGGAAATTACCTGGATGTCACTGTGGTGCTGTGCTTCCTAATAGAGCTTGCAAACACATTTGAGGTCTCTGCTCATTGTTGAAAGACACAAGAAGAAGGGAAAACAAGGTGATGGGCTAATGGGAAAAGCAAGAATAAGGAGAGGCATCGCTCTCTGAAAGACTGAATGACAGCGAGAACAGTTACCTTTAACTGAATGGCCAGAGATATTTTAAATCATTTCATGAGATACTGCGTATGTGGGGAGGGGTGATTAAACCAGGCTCTCTGGCAGCCCATAGTGATCATGTGTGTCCCGTCCCCCCGGGGACTGCTCTGGGATTATAGAAGGAAGGGACATGGCCAGTGTCCTCCATGTGTCCATGGAAAACTCCAGTGGTGTTTCTGGTAGCTGCTGACTGTGTTGCATTGGGAGCCGGAGAAAGGCTAGGTTTTGTCCTGAGCCAGCTCATTCAGCTATTTATGCTAATGTCTAGAAATAGGTCCCCATTTACAAGAATGCATTAGCAATAAACTATTCTTTATATTGGCATTACTATCAATTATTAAACTGGCGGTCAAGGGCACAGACTCTGGAGCCAGATGCTTCTGGCTGAGTGGCCTTGGGAACGTTTTCTTTTGTCTCTGTGCTTCTCCTCAGTTGGGATAGGCTAGGTTATGCTGTGTTACAGAGATCTGGGGACTGCAGTGCCTTACAACAATGGCTTATTTCCAGCTCGAAATGTATGTCTGCCAGGGGCCACTTAGGAGCACAAGCTAACGGGGGCTCTGTCTTTGGAAACACTACAGTCCTAGAGGCAGGAAGCACAATTGGTTTTCAACACTTCTGCCAAGTAGTGTCACATGTCCCTTCCATGCACATTTGATTGGCCTTAGTTCTCCCTGTAAATGGGTATAACAACAGTATCTTTACAGGTTTCCCTTAAAATTATTTAAAATGTTATATGAAAATCATCTAGCTGCTCATTTTAAGCACCGAATGCTCCTTATTAATAATAAAAATAATACACACTTATACAGCACTGTTCGTATGCCAGACATTGCTTTATACTCTTTAAGTCACTCATTTATTAACTCACTTAGTCCTCACTCAAACCCTCTGAGGTGGATGCTGTTGGGGAACCTGCCGTGGGTGGATTACATGCACCAGTATCTGCTCCCCTTTCCTGAGGGGTGCACATCTGCACTACTGCACTGACGTCAGGTGTGACCATTGGTTCTTCTGGACGAATAATTAAAACAATGTCAATGAGAGAGAACATCAACATCGATCGGCTGCCTCTTGCATGCCCCCTGCTGGGGATCGAGCCCACAGCTGGGGCATATGCCCTGACCGGGAATCGAACCAGGGACCTCCTGGTACATAGGTTGCCATTGAACCACTGAGCCACACTGGCTGGCTACATTTATTTTTTAAATTCTCGTTTGATTTTTAAATTTTTGCCTACTGTAAGTTATTAAAATAATATCTGAATTTTGGCAAGCAGTTATGGTATTGTCACGCTGGCAATGTTTGGTGACTAGAACTGGGAAGGGCAAAATAACAATGATGCCAAAATGGAGGGTGTGATTATGGTGGCGGCCGGTTTAGTCTCATTCAGCCCAGCAAGCTCTAGCCTCACCCGTAACCTCAGCCGCTGCCTTTCAGTGCTTGTCATTTATCACCACGAAGAAGCAGGTGAGAGAGAATGGATGAGTCAGTTCTAGAGAAACCGCTTCAGTCTCACAGGTCAGTGCCATTATCTTCACACACAGAAGAAAATGCTGTTGGGCCTTGTGAAGTGAAGAGTTTCCATTTAGAAGGCTTAGCATCAACTCCTGGGGCTGTCTAAGCCAAGCTGGACATGGCTGTGTTGGGCGAGGGGTCTGAAGAGCTACTTCTAGACCTGGTTTTAGGACCTTGTTACTGTTTGGCTCATCAATGCAGAATGCATCTTTTTCTCTCCGGTATCAAGAACGGGATTTTATTTATTTCCTCTCCAACATGTATAAATAAGGAAGTCCAAACTGTAAGAGGGGCTTCTTCTAATCCCTAATTTGCCAAACTGATTTTGTGTGTGTGTGTGTGAATTCATACTCACCCATTCAACACACATCTAAGTTCCTGCCGGGTGCTAGACTGTGTGCCTGGGGGTGTCCTGGCCAATAAAAACATGGTCCCCTGGGCTCATGGAGCTGGTGGTGCCGTGGGGGAGGCAGTCGTTGAAGGACCACACGCTGCCTGTTCGGTTTGCCTGTGATGAGTGCCATGGGGGAGAGTTGCCTGGTGTTCCCGGGAAAGTTAATGGGCCTGACCTAGTCGGAGAGTCAGGGAGGTGGTCTACGAGGAAGTGCCCGTGGAGCAGAGTAAAATCTCTAGCCTTTCATGGACTCCAATCCCTGCCTTGCATCTTGATACTTGAGAGTGGTTGCCAAAACAATCTGAAAATGACAGCGCGAAGAAAACACGGCAGAGGTGCTGGACCTGCTTACCTCGGCGCGGGACGTTTAAAAGGCCGGCCTGGCTCATTGAATTATCATTCATTAGCATGGCTGCTCATTCTCATCAGAGGAAATCTGGTCCTGAGTCATATTGCTCATCGCAAGTGAATGTCATCACCAACCTTCTGAAAAGGAACCAGTAGCAGTGCTCTGTTTCCCCATAAAATCCCACATGCCTTCCCATAAAACCATCGGACCGATTGTAGTTGCAGGGGAGGGTATTAGAAGGTTGGTTTTTGAGAGATTTCTGTGATTTAAGGTTGAAAAGATTTGGAGGGAGAATTAAATGATATAGCATATTATCTGTATTAGTGCTAGAAAAAACAGTAAATGCTTTTTTTTAAAGTGTAATTAATGCATCTTTAATAATAAACAAGCCCCAAATCTAAAACCCATTATTTCAAAGGGCCCTGCTCCAACAATGCAGGGCGGCTCGGGTGGCATGTTAATGCTTCTGGCAATAAGCAGGCTGGTCACACGCTGTCCCGGTTTCTGCCTTGGCTGCCTGCCTCCCAGCTGTGCCTCCCAGGAGTTTCGTGGAGAGAAAGCCAGGGCGGTGACACGATTACGGGCGCACAGACCACTCTACTGTATCTCCAGTACAGCTAAATTTAGTGTCTCCGGGAGGTACACTTTTTTCCCAGAGGAAAGCAGCATTTTATAACGATTCTGAATAGTTCACACGTGGCAGAATCTTAGTGAGTAGCTATTATAGACCAGAGACTTGGCTCCAACTTGTGATGTTCTAGAAGGTCTTCCTTTTCTGGCAGGAAAACTTTTCTCTAGAGAAAACATTTTCCTTATACACCCAGTCTTAGTCTAAGGTGAGTTTTTAGCGGAGGGGAGTTTCATGTCTTGACGGTGTTAACTGTTTTCTACAATGATAGGAGAAGAAAGAAGACATCAGTAACAAGTGTTTCATTTTTA